GAGCATGTGTCACTCAGAAAATGTATGTAATATTATTGTATGAGTTTCCTATTGCTTCTGTAACAAGTTATCACTAACTTAGTGGCTTTAAAAACACAAATTTATTATCTTACAATTTTATAGGTCAGAAGTTCAATAAGAATCTCACTGGGCTAGTATCAATGTGTTGACAGGCCTGCATTCCTTTTTGAGGCTCTAGGGGAGAATGTGTTTCTTTGCCCTTTCCAGTTTTTAGAGGTCGCATGCATTCCTTGGCTCATAGCCACTTTTCGGTCTTCAAAGTAAGAAGCATAACATCTTCAAATCTATTTCTAACTCTGATTCTCCTAACCATCACCCCCTTGACCAAAAAAGGACACTGTGATTATATCGGGACCTACTGACAATCCAGGATAATTTCCCCATCTCAAGGTTCTTAAATTTATTACCTCTGCAAAGTCCTTTTGCCATGAAGGTAACATATTCATAGGTTCCAAGGATTAGACATCTTTGGGGGAATGTTATTCTGCCTACCACAATTATTAAGGTATTTTTAACAGTTATTAGGATTATAAGTCATCATTCTTAAAATGTGCTCTAACAAAAGTTATTTTATTGACATATTCCACATACACTTTGAACAACATTATGGCACCTGAGTTTTGGTAATATATAAGCAACCTGTGCTATTCATTTTCCTCAAGTCATGTGAAGATATGCTGCGTATGTCATTGTGGATGTTGCCTTGTCTGCAAGGTAGAGAACATATTTACAGACAATTGGGATTTGCCAAATATGGCCCTAACTTTTTGTTTCCTGGTCTCTGATTCTCTCTAGCCTACCCTTGATTTTTTGTGACATCTTTGAGCATACCTGCCAGTACTATTTTCTAGAGTTACTACTGTGCCCTAAGTACTGTACTGAAAATTTACCAAAACATTCTCCTTTGATATCCCAGGTCAATGTATGGTACCTGCTTCTCTAAACTTAGGCTTAAAACTAGTCATTGTTCCTAATTTTTATCCTGATGTTTACTTTCTCCATCCAGTCAATTGTCAGATTGTGTAGATTTTTTTTCCAAGAAATCTCTCAAAAGATCTCTCACAAACTTTGTTTCATTTTAATTCTAACAATTATCACTGTATTTGATATTTGAACTATCACAAATGTATTATGAGTCTCTTCGCTTATACTCTCCTTCCAAACTATATTTGCTGAATGAGTCTTCCTAAAGATTCATTTCCATGAAAACATTTTTAGATACTCTCTAGTGTCCGTAAACTTCTAACTCTTCAGTATAATATAAAGACCCCCTCATTTCCATTTTAACAATTTACGTCCTTAATGTCTGATATCAAATCCAACCTCCTTTTATTTTGCTTTCCTTAACTGTGCCAGCTTTCAGCAGTTTCTCATCAATATGAATGGATTTCTATAGCAGTCTTCTGTTGAAATCTTTCAGTAATTTATCAAGTTATGTCTTGATTTATTTTCATATAATTCTGTCCTTTTATGTTTTACTCTCTAACTCAATTTTCCAAGCATCAGATCCATGTTTTGTAGGTAGGTCTTTGAATCCATTATAATATCTAATACCTCGTGATTAATAAATATCTATTTGTGGGTAAGAAAAGAATGAGACTTAGGGCTACATTTTTAACAGGTATTTTTTTGAGTGGAAGAGGTTTTTAAAACACTCTTTAAAAAGACACTTTTATTATGTCTGTGTAACCATTCTTAGGGTTAAATTAGAGATCTTCACTTTAAAAATTTATGTGATTTCCATAAAGCAGTTTAATTACTAATGGACAGAGCCAGGGCTCTTTATTCCTACTCTGTGTTCTTTCTAGTCTATTCTATGACCTCTCAGAACTGGATTCAGCATTTCTTATTTTATTTAAAAAATTTTAGGTCTCCATGCAACCACCTTAGTAACCACACAGACTATGTTAATCATTTTTCTCTGAAACTGACCTCACTCTTTAGTTCTCTGTTGGCAGAGTAATCTTCCTATAGCTCATGAATCAAATCAACTTTGTTTTTACAGCAGAACCTAAAAACTCCTTCATTCCTTCACAACACTGCCTTGCATCCCCTATTCCTCAGTTTCAGTTCACTCTTTTTTATAAAATAAGAAACACAAAGTATTCTTGGATTTAAAATTGTCCCAAATGTCTCCAGGGTTGACTCACTGTTAAACCTCATGGAAACCCCAGTTTGTTTGGCTGAACCCGGGACTGGGATTTGGGGAATTACGATAATTACAGCTCATCTTATGATCCAAGGCCAAGTATTTTATTTTTCTTTGCTTTCGTTGCTCCATCAGCAAAAGGTAAAATTTATTCTGTGTAACCAGAAGGTCGATGGCAAAGGATAGCAAAAGTTGCATGCAGTTTGTGAAGCACAAGGCTGTATAAAAGCTAACTATAACCATCCCAACTGCTGCAGGGGAGTATTGTTCAGATCTTTTTCTCAGGGGGTCTAGCAATGAGTATATTACCCAGCTCCATTTTTCAGACCAAATCATACAGCACATTTTTAAATCACAAATCTCAGATATTTCAGTATCTTAATAATATTAATGATAATGATGATAAAAATGGTAGTCATCATTTGTTGAGCCTAAGAGTGTGCCAGATTCTGGATCAAACTTTATAAAACTCCTGTGAGGTGTATAATCTTAACTCCCTTTTGCAGAAAAATAAAAATAACAGGCTCAGTCAGGATAGGTGGCTTGTTTGAAATCACAGAATTAGAGAAATTGTCATCTCTCTGACCCCAAGCTTAAGCTCATAACCAACATGCGTGCCACTCCCACTGATCACGGCTCTGGGTACACAGCAGAGAGCTGTGAAGTGGGAACTACTTTTGTTCTTTGTGACAGTTTGACTCATTTTATAGCCCCTAACTTGACTTGTTTTACTAAGGATATTTTAAGAGAAAATAATTCAGATTTCAGCTAACTTACAATTTGGTTTAAGTATATGATCCTATGCTCTTTTTGTTGATTTTACTTCCTTCCCTGTCTCCCTCCTTGCATCTCTTCCTTCCTTCCTTCCTTCATTTCCCCCTTTTCTCTCCTTTCTCTCTTCTTTCCTCCCTTCCTCCCTCCTTACCCCCTGCATCCTTACTTCCTTTTAAAAATGTAATGGCTTTAAACTTTAACTCTAATAATACAAGAAGGATTTTATTAAAGTTCTGTCTATTTTTAATACCTATCCAGCAAGACTATTACATTGTAGCAATATTTTTTAAAACATCCAGGGCAAACTTTTGGTTTTCTTGACTTCATCTAATTTGAGATACTAACAGTATCACCTTCTATTTATTTGGCAATGTGTTGCTAATATCAGAACTTCTTTCTAGGCAATTGTTCTTAAGGTACATTGGTTTCAATGTAGAGTTGAAGGGAAACTTTCCTCATCTCTTGGTTACCATGGCTTTCAAAATCATAGTTGCGCACAGTAGAGCCATCATCCAGAAGACACAGAGGTATTTCTATATTCATTATGTATTCACCAGCCTCCTCCCCTATTGAAATATCAAGGCTTTGGGCCCTTATTTAATCCCACCAAATGCATTCATTAATTTCACAACTAAACTCTGGGCATGAGAGTGAAAAAAAACACATAAAAATCAATCCTTAATTTTATGAAGCTGATCCAATGCATATATTCTAGCCATGTTCACAGTCTATACATTCTCCTAGGGTTAAGTAGAGTTTGTCTAGGGCACTGGACTCTGGGCATGGGTGACAAAACTTAGCTTGAGAATTTAGATTAATTACCATACAAATACTTTTAGTGTGTTTCTCTTTTAGTTTTATTAGTCTAGATGTCTTCTCCTTTGGTCATCTTAGTTCATCTGCATTTTTCTCTTTGCCTTTTGTTTTCTTCAATAACCTCAGCACCCCCTCACCAATTCCCTCCTCCCTGCCATGCTTTAATATTCCGAAAAGCCCTTGTCAGGCTTCATTTTATAGATGAGGAAATTAAAACTCAAGTTAAATAACTTCTTCAAGGCCACACAGCTAGTCATAGTAGAGCTGAGGTTTTGAGTCATATAGTATATCTTACTCCAAAAGTTGTATTAGCAACCACAATTTTATTCTACTAAAAAAAAAATTTCTTCCATGCATTTACCACTAAGTACTTAATCACATGGGATTATGACTTCTCTGAGCTAGTCTATGACTATTTGCACAATCTAAACTCTGGTCTATAAAACATATGAATGATAAAAGCATATAGTATTCCTGGTGCTATTTTCAGCTTATGATGGTTCTGATCCATTGCAGAATCAAGTGTTTCTAATGCCATCCAGTTCAAGAGGACAATTAATCCATTTTCATTGGGAATTTCTTTGGTCTTCTTTTCAATCCTTCTGACACCACACCACTCCCCCCACATAATCCATTGGAAACCTTGTTCTAGCTAACCCTGAAATTTTTAAATGACTGTATGTAATTATTACTCACTAACGTGTCTGAGAAATTCCTTTTTCGTATATGTGAGTTGTCCGAACTGCCAGAGTCCTCACCAAAAACAGATGAACAAAAGCACTATCTTTACTGAAAGCTGTTCTGAATTTACACGTTTTTCTCCAATACTACCTGAGTGGAGAGTGGTAGAATTTAAAAAGGATCCTATGTAGCAGAATGCGTCGTGTTTAGAGAGGTCCATGGGGTCGAAGCACACAGGAACATTCCGTGGTTAGGGCCTGTTTGTCTGGGCCTGAGTTTCCTAATTTATGAAATTGGGTCTATTATACTAGGCAGTGACTGCGTGTCAGAATTGTGAAGGAGATTCTTAAAAACACTGACTCCCAGTATCCACTTAGAGATTCTGGTTTAGAAGGTCCGAGACAGGACTGGGAACTTCTATAATTTCACCAGTTGTCCAGGTGATTCTATTGCAGACTGTCTTTTAAAAGAAATTGTGTGGTAACCACATGTAATATTCTACACTTCGATGCTTCAATGGACTTTTGGTTCCATTAAACCTATTTTTTCCCCCACTTAGGATCCCCATTGCAAAGAGGGGAGGGCTCGCATCCAGCTGTAGGCCTCTCATTCAAGGTTCTTGCTGCAGCCAGCAGTGTCCTTGGAGTCTAGTTCAAAGCTGGAGAGAGTGAACCAGGGAGCCAGGAGCCATTGGTGGAGGGGCTGGCCAGAAGGAAGTGAAGTATTTCAGCCAGAATGTATTGACGCACGACCAGGAAACCACAAGACTGGTGAAAACCTTTCCAAGCCTGAGCCCTATGATCAAAAGAGGTGCAGGAAGCAGCTCTGCCAAGAGTCCTTTCTGCTGCCGGCGGGAGCCCTGAGCCTCTGATGCTCTCTGAGTCAACTCCCTGAGCAGATGCTATCGCCCAAGAAGCCATTACCCAAGCATTTTCTTACTTTGCTCTGACGTGGCCCCACAGGTGGGTGGAAATGAGTTGCTTTCTCTTTTTCTCTTATAGCCTCTTTCTTTTGGCAGAGGTTGCTATCTGATTGTGCACTCTGATTTTTCAGAAGCCATAGGTTACTGGCTTTTTACCCTTTGCCAGCTGGCTATTGTTTGATGTTCAGGACCTGTACAAAAAAATCAAATCCTAAAACTCTTATCAATACCTGGATTACCTGATCAGCAAATATCAATAGCTTGGGTTTCAACAGGAATAACTTTCTTTATTTATTACATCATAAACATTACCCCTTCTCCCAGGATACTCTTCCTTTTGTTCCTCATAACAATAGCTCAACCAGGAATTACATTCAGATCCCCGTCATGGATAGAGATCATGTCTGGATACAAAGTCAGAATAACTATGTTCCTGTGATTTCTCTCTTTCCTTGGCCAGAGTAACTGCCAGTTGTCATGCATAAATCTCATCATCATATAGCACATCCAGTCCACAGCTGAGACTAGCATGTCCTGAACCATGTCCTGAGAGCTAAATGATGGAGAAGTTGGACTGGCCATGGAGCACTTTAACTGATTGCTTAGTAATGGGGTATTTTTCCTGGAAAGACAACAGAATCATTCTAAACTATTGATTCTGTCATGGATTCAGGCTCCCACGTAGAGGAAAAGAAAGCAAATGTGATACATTTTTCATTTGGCCTTCTGCCTGGCTTTCCTGCTTTTTGCCTTATATTGCATGCTTCCATTTTTATTCTTAAACCTCGACTAGATGATCCAGCAATATTGCCCATATGGCATAAAATCCACAATCTTAATCTGCTTCTTTCCAAAATCTCAGCTAATACATGGCCAATAGCTTTTATGAGACAATGCCCTGAATGTTAGCTTAGGTTTCAATCAGTTTAGGAAACATGAAAAATCAGTGGGGAGGGGCCATACCCCCTTGGCAAAGATTTGAGAGGTCAAGGTCTGGGAGACTCTAGGCACAAAGTGAGCAGTGACAAGCAAGTGTTTTCTGAATGATTCCTCCCGTGGGACGTCCATGTAAAGCAGAGGCTTTGCAAACACGTTGCCCCGCAGTGCATTTGAGACGTGCCGTTTTGGGGAAGTGCGAACTTTGTACACTGCTGACACCAACCATTTGAAAATAAAACCATTTTTTTTCTGTCTCTCTCCAACACTCTTGGCTCAGCTTATCCTACCAAAACACACTTCAAAAGACTTCTTTATAGAAAGAATGTTTCAAAAATATAATATTCCATCTGTTATTTCAATAATACATGCTCTGGGACTCTCTTTATGAACCATTTTCCTTTCTTTGCTCCCATTTAGATGTATAAATATTTGATTCAAGAGCCCTGAGGAATAGTCAGCCAATCAGGTCACTGAATTGTGAACATTCCTAACCCTATAATTTTGTCTATAGCAGCACCCCCTGCTGTGGAACTAACTGCTAAGGGATTATAGCAATGTAACCCTCAGCCCGTTCCATCTCAAGGTTACTCTTAAGTGCAGAGAAGGAAGCAGTTTTAATTTTGATAAAATAAACTTTGTTTTGTAACTTTATTATTTGTTTTTCTTTCCCCTTTCAGCACTTCATAATAGACGTGTCTGGTAATTTGAAGTCAGCCTCCCTGGTTGAGGTGCCTTAGGCCACCCCCTATTCTTGTAGCTTTTAAAGAGATAGCCACACGATGTTTAGTCCTGTCATTCCAAAGTGCAGAACCCAAGTTTTTTTCTACTTCATGTGAACTGAACCAAGCCATATATTGACCCGTATTAAACATCTCCAATGGAGCTTTCCAATGGGTGGCAACAGAAGAGCATGAACATTGTCATGTCACCCAAATACATTGGAAATGTCAAACTATGTGCAAAATTCTAAGTACTTTTCTGATGGTTAGTCTTTGCTCACAAGATCTGTACTTCAGCAATTATTGAAGCATTTAAGGTTATAATGTGAATTTCAGGGGAACCCCCTCTTTGATATTATAAACTCAAACATGTTGCCAGGAACAAATGGCCTTTTATGGATGAAATTTGATATATTTTGAATAATGCTCAAAGAGATCTTTTGCTGTGTGTGAAGAATAAAATGAAAATTTCCGTTATAAAAATTTATAGCTGGATGGATAGGGAAAAATATTTTCCAGGATAAAAATATTTTCCTGTGTCTTCTTAAATTAAAAAAATACAAAGTTTTAGATACACAGAAAGTTAAGTTTAATTATTACCACGTAATAGCCAAATCTTTCTAGAGACAATAGGCCAAAATGTGGCAGAGCTTTAAAAATGTCCATAACTTTGACCAAGAAATTATGCTTTTAGAAGTTTACTCAGGACATCATGACATAAAAGTATATATCCATAGATGTGTATCATTGCATTATTTAAGAGTGAGATATGCAAAGAGTTTAAGTTTAAAAGTAAGTGCCCATTAGCAGTCTGAATAAGAACTCATATTTAGTGTTGCTTTTAAAAGACTTTTTAAAGTATTATTTCTAAGTATTAATTTGAACCTTGTCATTCCTTAGTGTTAATAAGTTAAACACTCAGAAATTGCTCAGGTCAGTCTAGATATGATCAATGTTAAGATGATAATCTCTAGAGGAGGATTAACTTTCCCTTCCAGCTATGACTGAATAGCTTCTACCTGACCAACACTCCTACAATAGCAACTTAACATCTGGATAAATTTAAAAAATAATTGTGATGGCATTGGAGAAGTGTAAGGCACCAATAACTTCAAAATAACAGAACAAAGAGATGAGCCTAACATTTGGAGCTGCTTTTCCCATTGAGCTATTTCCCATTTTAAAAGGAGCCAAGAAATTGAGAAACTGAGGGCAGCTTTTAGCAGTTTTATGAAATTGAAGGAACAAAAATTAGAATTGGAGTTTGAAGGTATTAAGGATCTGCTAAATAATCAAGACATTCATTTGGGACCGCCCTAAAGGATTACAATTTAGGAATAAGAATGAATAGAATCAGCCCCATACAGAGACTGAAACAAACTCTAAAGTCAGTTTAGTCCCACAGATTAGAATAAAGTGACCTACAAAGCAAAGTAAATGCCTGGTTCAGGAAGGTAACATCAACAAAAACTTAAAACTGTTTTAAAATATTCTTAACACTAGCATTTAATAAAATATTATCAGCCTTTCCATTAGGCAAGACCAAATGATCAAAAGTGAAGTGAAAAAACACTCGGGGTGGGGAGGAGGGATGAAAGAGACCTGTAGAAAACATTTATTAGAGTTACCAGACATGGGCTTTTAAATAGCTATGATGAATAATTTCAAGAAAGTGTAGGACAAGGTAAAAAGTTCCAGCAGAAAGTGAATCTGTAAAAATAATTGAATTGAAATTCTAGAATAAAAAAATACAATGATTAATTTTTAAAAATCAGTAGATGGGTTTAATAGCAGATTAGACATAGCCAAGAGGTAATTAGTGAATTGGAAGGTAAATCAGTAAGAATTATCCAGAATAAAATATAGCAAGGCAAAGGAAAGTACTGAGATAATAGACATAAGACATGTGTAAGTGCAATTCTAGGAGAGAGAATGGGGCAACTGCAATATTTGAAAAGAGAATGGCTGATAATTTTTCAAAACTGCTGAAAAACATCCAGCCATAGATTTAAGAAGTGTTATGAATGCCAAGTAGGAAAATATAAAGAAAATTACACAAAGGAAAATCATAATAAAGCTACTGAAAGCCAAAGAGAAGGAGAAAAATCTTAAAGTCAGTTAAAAAGGCCCTAACCAGTTTGGCTCAGTGGATAGAGCGTCAGCCTGTGGACTGAAGGGTCCCAGGTTCGATTCCGGTCAAGAGCATGTACCTTGGTTGCGGGCACATACCCAGTAGGGAGTGTGCAGGAGGCAGCTGATTGATGTTTCTCTCTCATCGATGTTTCTAACTCTCTATCCCTCTCCTTTCCTCTCTGTAAAAAAATCAATAAAATATATATTTTTTAAAAAGTCATTTAAAAAGGACTTTGATTTCAAAGAAACTAAGAAAACAGCTGACTTTTCAGTTAAAATTATGGAAGCTGGTAAATAATGGAAATCATATTCAAATAGCTGAAAGAAAAGAATTTCCTACCTCAAATTCTGTATCTAGTAATATTGTCTTTCAAAGTGCAGGTTAAATAAAGACATTCTTCATTAGCAGCAGAACTTCACGAAAGGTAATTGTAATGGGGGTTCTTCATGCAGAAGAGAAATGATCCTGGTAGAGGCATGAGGATGCAGGAAGAAATATAGTAGAACTGTATAGTCAAGCCAAATCTGAAAAAAACAAAAACAAATGTCCATCAATAACAGAATGGACAAATAGATTGTGTTCTATTTATGTAAAAAGTACTAAATAGCAACGACAATAATCAAACTATAGTTACATGAATCAAAGTTCATCTCACTCAACATTATGTTGAGTGAAAGAAGAAAGACACAAAGAATATATATTGGACAGGGATATGCATTTCCAAAAAGGGCCAAAATACATATGATAGAATGCAGAATGTTGTTTCCCAGGGTAGAGAGTATAGTTACTGGAAAGAAGCACAAGGGGTTTTTAAGGGTTGGGATAATTTCTTGTTTTGGATCTGGTTCCTCATTATGTGACTGTGTTTACTTTGAGAATATTGATGAAGTTGTACATTGATGATTCATGTATATTTCAATAAAGGGAGGGAGAAAATACTCCAGAGGGAGTTTTATTCACATAATGAGAAAAATACTTTTTTTTTCAGTGAAGGAATGAGAAAGGAGTACAGAAATAGCTCATCGAGTTTCACTTCCTTAAAAGGCATTTTTAATAATTTGGAGAACACTCCATGGAATTTTAGGATTTTTTAAAAAAAATCGGCCCTAACCGGTTTGGCTCAGTGGATAGAGTGTCGGCCTACGGACTGAAGGGTCTCAGGTTCGATTCCGGTCAAGAGCATGTACCTTGGTTGAGGGCACATCCCCAGTAGGGGGTGTGTAGGAGGCAGCTTATCAACGTTTCTCTCTCATCGTTGTTTCTAACTTTCCTCTCCCTCTCCCTTCCTCTCTGTAAAAAATATATTTTAAAAATCAAATCCTAAGAGTTATAACCCCTTTCAGTCTTTCTATAATTAGCTTTCAGTCATTACTTCTGAACCTCGAGGCTGTTAGATATGAATACTTTTCTTAAATCATTCATTTCTTTCATTAATCTTGACTAACAAAAATGTGGCCATTTAGATGAGACTTGTCTTTGACTGTGATTTAGAGCACCACGCAGTCCCAAGGATGGGTCATTGTTTGATAAATGGGGTAGTGATTTAACACTACATCTGCCTCACAGTGCACAGACACAGAGGGAAAAGATTCAGGTGGTGGGTAGACTTTAAACTTTCTTAGAAACTAGCAAAGTTGAAACCTCTGAATAGAAACCTTGGGAAGCTCTGGGTTGCTCTGAGAATAAAGGGGGTCAGGAAGATATGTCTCTGGAAGGAGGCCCCAAAGCAGGAAGGCAGAAGCTCAGAGTAATCTTTTCTTAGGAGACCCATTCAGATAAGAATGAATCATAACAATTCATTTCTTATTTTTTTGGCTTGAACATATGTGTAACAGCTAGGAAACTATCTCAGCTGACAAACTTTTGCTTACAGCATGGTTAAAGATGGGATGATTTAGTTTGAGCTAGAGGTTTCTATCTAAGAA